ATTTTATTTTTTAGACACAGGTGGAGAATAAGTAATCCTCCACCCGGGTACCCGTTTTAGCTCCCCTGCACTCCTGTCACCCGGCCATGTGCGAGCTGTGTCAGCCACATGGCACCCCCTGCTCCAAGGCGCCCTGTGCGGCCGCACAGCTCGCACACCCCTAAGGCGGGCCCTGACAGGAGCTATACTGGATTATGGCTGGCAAAAAGGAGTAATCCTGTCACCACCAGTGGCTGTGTAAGTTGACCAACATCTACCACGCACCAATTATTTTTATATTATTATTTCATTCTATGAATGTCAAATTAGTCACATTATGATCATTACATAGGTAGTAAAATATGAAGAACGCGTTCTGAGATGTGTGCATCAACAGAGAAACCAAGAAGGCACAATGAAACGTAATGCCGGCTTGCTTTCTATTCGTTAACACAGCTGCCAGCCTGATTTTGTTTGTAGACGATTTCTATGGACAAAATGTGTCTATAAGTAAGCTAAGGGTAAATGTTAATAGTCAAAAAGCATGTAAGTATCCATACATAAAGCGTGGATAAAGCCCCTAATCTTTTATAAATCTTGTTTTATTTGTTACAGTATTTCACAGCATTGGTATTATCCTTAGCAGCCATGAGGCATGGGTGGAAAAGGCTATATGTTGACAATTCTATGATGGCTTACCAAGTGAACACTTTCTACGGTTCATTCAAAATCCTGGACATAAATCAAAACAACAGGTTGAAGTGGTCCTCACCACTCTTAAAGTCATGGGACCTTTATATTGCCAACTGTTGTGTTCAATCATATGATAATGCTAGCAATACACACACAATATGCAATATGAACCACAACTTAGTGGCTCACGGCATTGGGCTATATTGAACATGACTTCAGAATCTGAGAAGTAAGGAGCAGCAAAAAAAGGATAAGAAGAAAAAATAAAATATGGATGACTGGGTTGGAAATGTATGTACAGGATCCAGGACCTCTGGAAGAAGGAATACAGGATACTGGCTCACTGGAAACTCTTACACAAGACACTGGATCACTGGAGACTATAGTACATACAAGACAATGGACCACTGGAGACTCTGACAAGGGATACTGGAACACTGGAATCTCTGATTGTCAAGATTGGGTAACCCTCACACGCAAAGTACAGGGAAACAGCAACCTGAATGAAGGAATATAAAAAGAGAAGATACATATACTGGACGTTAGAGTGGCCGGATCGGTAACACCGGGTCAGTAACAAGAGTACGCACTCTCAGGCAGGAAAAACCTCAAAAAAAGCTTATTGGACAGCTTCCTCACCCTGCACCAAATCACACATAGGGGTTTCCTAGGACTCCTGTAGGTGGCACAAAGCTGCCATAATAATCCAAAAGCCTTGCCAGAAGACAGATCGTGTAGGGGGTTGCTCTGCACTCTGGCTGGGATGACGCGGGACTGGAGACTTTGTGGCTGACGCGTGGCAATCCCTGGAAGCTGCGTGTGCTGCGGGGCATACCTAGGTATGACATTGATACAGTATCCCGGATCACTGGAAGCAAGGAAACGGGATACCGGACCACTGGAAGCTCTGATACAGGATATTGAATCCCTACAAGCTCTGACACAGGATACTGAATACCTACAAGCTCTGACACAGGATACCAGACCATTGGAAGTTCTGATACGGGATATTGAATCCCTACAAGCTCTGACACAGGATATAGAATCCCTACAAGCTCTGACACAGGATAATGGACCATTGGAAGTTCTGATACGGGATATAGAATCCCTACAAGCTCTGACACAGGATATAGAATCCCTACAAGCTCTGACACAGGATACCAGACCATTGGAAGTTCTGATACGGGATATAGAATCCCTACAAGCTCTGACACAGGATATAGAATCCCTACAAGCTCTGACACAGGATAATGGACCATTGGAAGTTCTGATACGGGATATAGAATCCCTACAAGCTCTGACACAGGATATAGAATCCCTACAAGCTCTGACACAGGATACCATGGACCATTGGAAGCTTTGACACATGATACTGGATCACAGGATGTTGAATCAGACAGAGGAGCACAGGATTCTGACAGGCACATCCAAGAAGAAACACAACCCACATAAAAACTGAGCACCTACATCATCCGTTTGGAGGTAGCGCTTTTGGATGCTTGTGACACTTATACAAGGACTGTACAATTATATTTATTGAAATACAAATCAAAGCAAGTAGCATTGTATATGAAAACACACTCGATGGCATCCTATCAGATTAAAGAAGTTTATTTTCAGTTTAAAATATTTATATATTTATTTAATTAAAGTTACCCAAATGTTTAAAAACCCTTATCATGGAAGAGGAGACTAGCCCCGGTGGCCAGACGGCTACTGGAAGGATCCATTAAATACCGCTGGGGAGTTGAGGGATCACTTCAGGCGACACTTGGAGAAAATGGTGGAGCTGGTTTCCAGGGGTGGAGCACCTTTAGATTAGGGGGGTGTCTGAGTTTCTAATGCCTAGGGCATACACCACTGCAGGGGAGGTGTGGGTAGGGCTGTATAAACAGAAACAAAAGTGATTGTATATCTTGCCCCTGTCACTGCTCAATTCTCTTTCATTTAGGAGTTAACTCACTTTTGTTTCTGTTTATGCAGCACTAGCCACACCTCCACACAGTGTGCATGAAAAATATGGTTTCATTTTTCAATCAGGTGTTAACTTGCTTTAGAATTTGTTATTTCCTGCTCTGTAAATTGAACTGTAATCACACACAGGAGGCTCCTGCAGGGTCTAGAAGTCTATTAACAGAGCAGGATATAAGAATTTCTAGACTAAACAGAATATGCAGTACAGAAACCTAAAAATATCTAGGTTATTTTTAAGGAAGTGTTTAGGAAGGCTGTGCAAATTACATGCAGGGAGGTGTAACTAGGACTGTATAAACAAAGTAATTTAACTCCTAAATGGAAGTGAGATTGCAGGGGCATGATCTCTACACTATAACTGCTTCATTAAGCTAAAGTTGTTTTGCTGGCAACAGTATCTCATTAAGTAAAATTGAATTACAATTTATAATATTTACAAACTTGAAGAGCAGTCTGGATCATAATTTGCAACTCGAATTTAGTGCTTATTCTGATAAAAACATTTAAAGAGGCTACGTATATCGCCAAAAATAAAATAGGCATGAACTAATTATTACAGGTAATTCTGCTGATAAAACAGGGGAGATAAATACGGATATGGAGTCTTTAGCCCTGTACCCTTGGTACCATAGGCAATAGTATCTGTAATTCATTTAAAGGAACACTTCAGACCCCTAAAGTAATTTGCGCGTGAAAACTGTGTCCTATTTTTTTTTCATTTTTTAAAAAGTGCAGATGTCAATAGAAATTAAAACTTTTATGAATTAACCTGGTTACACCCCCATGGCTTTCAAGTAGACAACAGGTCCTGTTACTTCCTGGTTTGGTTAGCTCAGTTGAGTCAAACTCAAGAGGCAGCTAATTGCCCAGAGCCCCTGCTTTGCAAAGACTTCTCATTGAGCTCCATTGATCGGACAGCCACAGAAAGTCTGGATGGGGTTAGAAGAGGAGAGCTTGCAAAGGCTGCAAACAAGAGATCACAGATCTTACAAGCTGTTTTTAGGTATGCCTTCAATGACAAAATGCATAATTAAATGCACATGTGTTTTCATTGGGGTATATCTACTAAACAGTGATTTTTATTTAGTTTATATTTGGGCAGTGGAGTGTCCCTTCAAGTATGTGTAATTCCTTTACTATATGACCTTGCTTGAAAAAAGACCAATGCAATCAAAGTCTCAAACTTTGCCATCATTCTTGTGTATCTCTTCACTTGGATGATCAGATTCCCCAGCCTTTGCTCTAATCACTTGTTCAGGAATTGTCTGTGATATTTAGCCTCTTACTGTTTGAACTAATCAACACAGGAAGTGGATCAGAGCCTGATAATTTGTTGCACAAAGACACTTGTTAAACATGCTTATATATATATATATATCTCTCTTTTAAGTATAATTTTGGCATGACACATTACCACTGCATTGTGTAATGAATACTGTTGTTCCACTTTTAATGCTGATAGATAAGGTCAGATTAAGTATCTTGGAATCTTAAATGAGTTGTAAAATATGGGTCCAGTTTATTTCAATACTGCAACACATACAATCAAACTAGAAGAATTCAATAAAAGCAGTATATCAGCCGATGCCTTGCTTACTTTTCTTGCATATATTTATATACATAACATGTGTGACTGTTTATATTGGAAGTACTTGAAAATAATAACATTTCAATACATAGTCTTTTTTTTTCTAAGTAAACAGTCCACACTGTGAGAAAATAAGAGCATTTACGTTAACACATTTAATTAACACATTTACGTCAAGAAAAACTGCCTTAAACCCACAGAATGTGAAGTGTATTGCTTGTTGTACGATTTTAAATAATGAGTTCTTGGCATGTGTTAATACTACCCACTGCCTCCCATCTGACAGCATTACAATGCATTCAGTACATTACATCAGCATGCTGTCACTGCGAGCCTCATACATAAGTAAAAACATTGCATTGACATCAAAGCATACGGCGTGATCACTTCCTGAGCAGTCCATATACACTGTCTTTATATGAACACCAAAAATACATTGAAGGTATACTATATATATCAAAATCCTTAGGAGCTAAAGTTGTTTTGGTGCCTATGGTATGCCTTTAGGTCTCTTTGTATTCAAATGAATAAATGCAATGTGATAAAAAGATAGAAACAGGCAAGGATTATTCATATGTAGAATGCTAAGGGTTTATTGATTAAACTTCACATTGTAGTAAAGTAAAACCCAAATGGCAAACTTAAGGCTAAACTAGCCAAATTGTGTCTAAAAGAGTTGAAGAATTTTTCCAGATCTGCAATTGTTTCTCAAATTATCACTGATTTTGCTAGCACAGTGTATAGTTTATGGGGAGTCTTCATACCACACAACTGCCCTGTTCCAGCAAGATCATTCTCATATTCACGATTCTGTCCTATCGTCTTAGGGTTATTGTCCCCAAACTTAAACGATCAGGTCATTCAACGTCTGCTCATAGCTCTGTCCATGGGGAGCCATGAGTGGGGAAGGCTAGAGTGGCTGTGAATCATAAAGGTAGCCTCCTTCTTGGCTTATTCACCTCTGTCCTGGATCCATGTCTGCTGTTGCTGGAATATATGAGACCTCCATGATTTGTAGATGACCAAGGTAATTAGGGAAGCCCATGAGCAAATTATAAAATGTTTTTACCTAGATGTTTTTTTTAAAATAATTATTTAATTGTGTTGTGCAAAATAATTGTAGGCAGGCCTGTCATGCCACAATAGCAATATCAGACAATACAAAGCTTACAGTATCATGACATAGAATAAGACCGCATAATTTTTTATGAATAGTAAACATGCACTTGCAAGATATATGAAAGGTTGGGTGTAGTAATAAAATCAACATATGTAAACTGATATGTTAGTCAAGATAAAATAAGACAATATTAATAGCAAGATATCACCCCTCTCCACTGTTCTTTAGATAATTTCCAACCACAGTGACAAGACTCTGGAGCCACCTAAATACACATGGCAGACCTTGCAGAGCAAGGTTTCCTGGATGGCATGGGTTGTGCTTGTAAGGTCCCCGTGTAAGGACTCTTTGGTGGAGTACAGCGATTGGCTCGCCGTAGATCTGTGTGTGTAGCTGACCCTGCTCTCTTTTCCTCACCACCTGGCTGCTGGGGTCCTGTGCTGAGTGTGGCAGTTGCTTGAGCTTCTGCCTTTGGTGTAACTTAGTCTGGGAGCATCTCTGGGTATTTGGATGGCAGACTGTGCAGGGCACCTGTTGGACCTCCTGTCATGAGGAATATGGAAGAATCGCAGGAAAGCTAGGGTGATTCTACACGCGAGTCCATAAAGCTTGGCAAATTTGATTAAATTTAGCTTCAAAGATTTCACATCAAGTCAGGTTCTCCATGCTAGTGTTGACATGCTGAGACTCCAGGGTGGCAGCCATCATAAGTGCACCACGCGGGCTCTGGTTCAGCAGGGTAGTGCTTCAACACTGTAGAAATGCAAGTATGTCAAGTGGGGACTGGGATACCCTCCCCCCCCATTGGTCCAGTAGGATATGGGGGGCAGTAACAGGGCTTTAAGGACTTGAGTTCAGAGCCGGGAGAGCAGCTGCCTCCCCTTACTACTGGACCAAAGCCTCAGTAGGCCACAAGATCAGACTTTTCCATCAGGACCCCTGGAACAGGCGTAATATGTTGCAGGATATATTGAGGGGGGTCCCCGGTCAGTTTAGGGGCATTTGCTGCAAGATTAAGTGGGTTGTTTGCTCTAGCAGTAGCTAGTGGAATACACATCTGGACATCTTTGACGTACCAGGCCTCTGTGCTGGTAAGGCAATTTCTTCAACACCAAACTCATCCGACCGTGTTTTTATGGACCTTGCTTTGTGCACTGTGGCACAGTCATGCTGGAATAGAAAAGGAATTTGCACCACTCGATCCGATGCTTGGCATTGTATTTGGTGATGTAAGCCTTGTATGCAGCTGCCCAGTCATGGAAACCCATTCCATGAAACTCCTGCTACATAGTTTTTGTGCTGATATTATTACCAGTGGAAGTTTGGAACTCTTCAGGCTGCGGAATTAGCAGAGCAATGGCGACTTTTACGCACCCTGCGTATCACCACTCGGCGACCGCTTTACGTGGTCTTCCGAGTAATGGCTGAGTTGCTGCTATTCTTAAACACTTCCACTTTCCGATAATACCACTTACAGTTCACCGTGAAATATCTAGTAATTCTATATTGTTGGTGTGACTGAATGTATAACAGAGCTCCACAGCAATAATAATCTCAGTAATGTATCTTTAAACTACAATAAATGTGTTTAGAAATCAGTCTGTGTAAATAAGATACATTGTCCTTCTTCTAAATTACATTATAGTTGCAAAAATTGTGCTTAGTAAGTCACCTGAAATTTCTCAGTACCCGCCCCTTGTCATACCCCCACTCACACCCCTAAAATTTAAATGTGCCTCTTTGACCATGTAAAATGTTGGGAGGTATGCCTTTTCTGTCAGGCCCACTTGAATGAAATGGTATAACTGGCATCTGCTATTCTGCCCATTCCATCCCGATAGCTGATCTTTCAGTGCCAGTAATGGTAATAGTAATGGTAATGGCAATTATGAATTATGGTAACTAATAATTCTGAAAAACAAAAAAAAAATTGTGGAAAAAAACAAAAGCAAGTGCAACAAAAACTACATATTGAACCATAGGTGTGGGTACCTGGAGTGCCCCTTCCAAATTGGATGCTTTCCTATTCAGACACCTATTTAGAGGAGCAACACAGTTCCTTTACCCACTGAATGAGAATATACAAGCCACGGGGATTTCCCTAATATAACGTTTCTGCACGGTATATATCAGAGATAACAATCCAATTAGATCTTGGCTGACTGCTGAGAAGTGTCCAGAGATTTGTAACCTAGATTCCCAAATAGTTATAAAAAAAAGACACCATTTGCTATCTCTACTTTTAAGTGTAACATCTATCCACATACCTCATCCAAGACACATGTGGGTCACACGTATAACATGAATCTAGTTTGTTCTTGTGAACTAATTTACATAGTCCATAGAAATTTACATTTTTAGTGTATTTAGACTGATCTAGACATAGAGTTACAAAAACATTTATTAACATACCATGCCATTGCCATGATCAATGTTACACGGTACATCCCATCTTTAATACAGATGGCTTACAGAACCTGAAGTGGATGGTGTTTTTTATCTTCATTTTTAGATTTCAGAATTATATTAAACAAATAAAGCATTTGTGTTTTAAATGAAAATTATAATTTAAAAATAATATCAGGAAGTATTACTTTACTGAGAGGGTAGTGGATGCATGGAATAGCCTTCCAGCTGAAGTGGTAGAGGTTAACACAGTAAAGGAGTTTAAGCATTCGTGGGATAGGCATAAGGCTATCCTAACTATAAGATAAGGCTAGGGACTAATGAGTAAAGTATTGGTTCTCCGAATTCTTATCAGTTCTATGCTTGCCATTTACATACTACTCAACATTTCAAATGGACAGTTTTTAGCAGTGCAATGGGGGAGTGACCAGGGGCTGTTCTGAGACATTTTAGGATAAAAAAAAGGGACAGAGGGATTTTAGCTTAAAATAGTGACTGTCCATCCTCAGTGGGAACATAAGGGAGGTATGTATTTATTTCTCACTGCCATTACATAAGCTGCAGGAAGTTAATTATTCACCAAAGCGAGCATCATAAACTCTTGTTGCATTATAACTCTCATTATTTTCTGTTCATCTATTGGCTTCATAGAATTCTGGGAGTTGTAGGGCGTCAGCATTGGGAGGGGGGGGGGCTAGGTTTTAAGATTATTGCACTAAAGTGTGGATTGCAGGGAATAAATAGGGAATTTCAAACGTTAGGCCGGCCACAATAGCTCGATTGGAAAAATTAAACAAATTGGCAACATTTTCAGTTCAGTTATTTGGCTTAAAATATTGAATTAAATTAGAATTCCCGGCAATGTGCACATATTGTAGTCTACCCAGTGGGGGCTCGTCCATAGGGGCAGCACCCCACCAATTATGGGAGGGGGGGGCATGTATTTGCAGTAGGTTAGAAACACTAAGATTCTTTTTCTGGAGGGGAGGGTGGGGAAAAGTGAGAATATTCTGTAATAGGTTTCAGCTCTGCAAAACCCCTCCACACTCATTGGGAGCGGTTTGGAGGAGCTTGAAACAATGGAGCTGGATTGAAATCTGCCGTTTCAGAAGTTGTTGCACATGCCTAGTCTTCTTTGAGAAGGAATTTTAGGAACATCCATTAAGATGCCATTCGGGCAGCAGAGCCAGCTGCCCATGAGTGGAGGGATACTATTGTCCTGTCTATTCTGGGGCCATAATTGGCTGATAGCATCAGGGGGTTGGGTTACAGTGCTTACAGCAGAGAGACTCAAGAAGTCATCTTGGAAGAAACACAGGGAGAGCTCATAAGAACTCCTGCCAAATGTAAGTGTATAATATTATCTTTTTCTGTCCCGCTATAGCCCCGGTGATTGCTTGAGGACTGATTAAGAAAGGGAATTTACGCCAGTATATAATTACTATATATAAAGCTAGGAAAGTCCAGAGAGGATAAGGAGAGGGGAGCACACACACACACACCGCACCCCCCTCACACAGACACACACACAGTGGCATACTAAGGGGGGGCAGGGGGACCGGTCTGCCCTGGGGTAGACAAGGGGGGTGGCCGGGGTAGACTGCAATGCACCTCCTGCGCCCATCGCCGAGACTGGTCTGCAGCTCCGCAGTGTGCAGAGCTGCAGACCATGTGTCTCGCGTGCACTGCCCTCCTCTCTTAATCACATCACCCTCCCTCTCCTAATCACATCACCCCCCCTCTCCTCATAACCCCTCTCCTCATCGCATCGCCCCTCTCTCATCGCCCCCCTCTCCTCATCACTCCCTCATCACCCTCCCTCCCTCTCCTCATCACCCCCTCACACTCACATCACCCCTTCCCTCTTCTCATCACCCCCTCCCTCTCATCACCCTCACAATCACCCCTTTCCCTCACACAATCACCCCCTACTCTCACCCCCCCTGAGCCCCTCTAATTCAAGCCCCACACCAGCCCCACCCCTCCCTCCCATCTCATCCCCTCTCCCTCTCATTAATCCCCCCCTCCTCTCATCCTCACCCCCGAGCTCCCTCTCACTTCACCCCCACACCATCACCCACCCCCTCCCATCACCCCTTCCCTTACACCATTATCCACTATACAAGTACACACACTGCATTCACTATACAAACACATGTGTGTCTGTGTATCTGTATGTGTCAGTGTGTGTCTGTGTATCTATTTGTGTGTCTGTGTTTGTATCAATGTGTCTGTATGTGTGTGTGTCTCTCTTTGTGTCTGTATGTGTGTGTTTATATATATATGTGTGTTTGAATCTGTGTGTCTATCTGTATGTGCCAGTGTTTGTCTGTGTATGACTGTTTCTATGTAACTGCATGTGTGTACCTATGTGTCTGTGTATGTGTGCCAGTGTGTGTATATGTATGTGTGCATACATCTCAGCATTTTGCCTACACTACACACAAATACAACCCTGCATCCAAATGTCAATACTACAAATAAAACACCACCATATTCAAAAACCACACTACAGAAAAATGCACGCCTGCATTCAAATGTCAATACATGCAAACCCACCCGTATATTCACTCACACATACTCCATACAAAAACATGCTTAGATTCAAACACACAAACAGTGCTTGGTCCTAAATACATAAAAATAAAAACACTGACCTGTGCTAAAGACATTTAAAAAATTTGCAGGTGTTTTTTTTTTACATTTTTTTTAGGGGGGGTGCCAAATATAGGGTCCACCCCGGGTGCCAAATGCTCCAGGTATGCCTCTGCACACACACACTGAGAGTAGCAACATCATCAATACCAGCTAACATCACACCAAAGAGAAGCAGTTCCAGCCATAACATTAGGAGTGAATTAATAAAATGTTTGACCAAATACAGCAGGCTAAATTTTAAGTTTTGTATGGCGCGCGAATGATGTTTTAAATATATAAGTGGGCCTTGGCAGATAAAAGGTTCCCCACTCCTGAGATAGATAGATAGATAAATCGATCACTCTATATGTATTTCTGAGTTTTTCTGTCTTTTTATATTTATTTATAATCAACATATAACACTATATGATATCTAATGTGTTGAGGAAATGTCTGTGATATGTAAGTTGTAGTGTCTGAATGTTGATAACTACGAGGAGGTGTGAGCAGACATTGTAGACATGTGTTGAGCTGAGTGGAGCTCAGGTCCGCCCAGTAAGGTGTCAATGTCAGGCGCGCCCATAAGGTGTCATTACTGATTCTCATAGAGAATCACTGGAGCATTGCCATTGGTGGACAGTCTGGTTGAAATACAGGAAGCAGGGGAAAAGCAAAGGGTGAAATGACATGAAATCAGAGGAGGATGAGAAAATCTGGTCATAGTACAGATTAAAACAGGAAAAAAACTTAGTGATACTAGGTTTACTGTACGGGGGGAGGTGATATGTTTTTTTTACCTATACAGTTCCTTTGAGTTGAGTGGTTTTGATATGTAAGAGTATCCCTTTAAAATTGAATGTAGTGCATAGCTCAGCTTTGTATTGATCTTGTATGGACACGGCAGTAGAAAAAAAAGACAGCGACTGTAGATGTCTTATTTTCTATAAGGGTGATTTATGTAAGGGAGTGCAACAAAAATACCCTTTTAATAACTGTCAGAATAAATTAGATGGATTGCCTAGTAGCTCTGGTTAATGGATTATCAAAGTTCAATCATTCACAAGATGCCATCACAATGTTTTTTTTCTTGTAATATATCGAGCACTTGTTCAGATTACTGCGAGGCCTAATGGAATTCGGTTCATTGTGTATGACAGCTTAATATGTATTCTTTGTTAGCAGATGAGGATACAGAATAACAAAGCACATTCACTGGTGATTGTATACATTAGCATGTACATTCCATGGAGAGAATATTAATCACACACAATTACTTTACAGTTAGAGTATTTCAGTAGGATTCAGACATAGACACCAAATCTCAGTGAATTAAAAACTGCATTGTTTATTTTAAGCTAAATTTTGCAATTCATTTTTCTGTTCAGCTGTGAATGTTGAGTGTTTTATTCACTAAACAGTGAATTGTGGTGAATTCATAACTGAATTTGCTACATTTAGGTAAAGGTAGATTGGGTATGCATGCATGAGTTGTGTTTTCTTCTTTGTAAAGAACAAACCTCTGATTGTGTGGGCAGGTTTAGTAGCAAAAAGGGATACATAAGGGATACATTTTTGTTTTTTATAATTCACTGAAGACACATTTTGTTAACAAAGTTGATGGAGTTCCTCTAAGTTTTAACCTCATCATGTGACTACTTCTCATCTATGTGAATTAGTGTGCCTGTAGCCTGTCTTGTTAAACAGTGCCCCCTGCTGGGACGCACACATGCAACAGTGCAAACCATACGTTAAATGCACCAGGGGCTTTCAACGCTTCCGCTGTTAATAATTATATGTCCATAAAAATAACTCCTGACAGATTTGGGGGTTATTTCCTTAGCACAGACATGTGATGAACTTACAGACAAATTGCATTAGTTTTACTGAAATAGCCAAGCTGTAACTTATAATTGGCGTTTAAGAATTTTTCCAAGTAAGCCTAAATTGTCACTCTGGTTTAAAGCCGGAAGATCCTCAAGTAATAGTAATTTCTCTTAATGAACAAAAAACTGAATTTTACTATTGATCCTGGTGAAATGGTCCCTCATATCATGGAGAAGGAAATGAGGGTAATAATCCCAATGGGTGCAGAGTAGACTTGCGCACAGCAAAAAAAAAAAAAATGGTTTGTCTAAAATTAAACATTTAGACTTGCTGAGTTTCATCCAATAGTTAAACTCAAAGTGTCTGGAAGAATCCTGCTTGGAAATATATATGGCTTTACTGCTCCTCCTTTTTCCCCCTCTATATTGCTCACTTCTCACTTCAAATCTGAATAAAATCAACATTTAGTGGCTGTCCATTAATCATCAATAATCTTTTTCTCCATTTTATTCCACCTCTTGATTTGACAAAAGATACAGCCCACGTCATTAGCCTCCGTGGAAAAAAAGGTTTCAATTTCAATCATACCTTAAAGGACCACTATAGTGCCAGGAAAACGTACTTGTTTTCCTGGCACTATAGTGCCCTGAGGGTGCCCCCACCCTCAGGGTCTCCCTCTCGCCGGGCTCTAGGGTAAGGAAGGGGTTAAACTTACCTCTTTCTCCAGCGCCGGGCGGGGAGCTCTCCTCCTCCTCCTCGGCTGAATGCGCATGCGCGGCAAGAGACGCGCGTGCATTCAGCCAGTCTCATAGGAAAGCATTCTCAATGCTTTCCTATGGACGCTGACATCTTCTCACTGTGAAAATCACAGTGAGAAGCGCGGAAGCGCCTCTAGCGGCTGTCAATGAGACAGCCACTAGAGGCTGGATTAACCCTACTATAAACATAGCAGTTTCTCTGAAACTGCTATGTTTGTAGAAAAAAGGGTTAACCCTAGCTGGACCTGGCACCCAGACCACTTCTTTAAGCTGAAGTGGTCTGGGTGCCTATAGTGGTCCTTTAACAGCACAGTATGTTTACTATAGACATTATTATCACCTACTCTTGTTAAGTGAACTTTAACCACACAGAAGCCTGTTGCAGGCTCTAGCAGGCAATTAAGAGAGCATGGGATAAGACATTCTAAATTAAGTGCACAGTACAATAAGATAATCTAAACAAATGAGACATCTTTTTTTTCAGGAAGTGTGTAGGGAGACTGCTACAGTGCAGGGCTAGCATTTTTGGCCTGGGAGATATCTACAAGTGAATGGCCTTTTATTCACAAAATTCAGAAGTGCCCACCTTTCTCTCAAAAATTGTTGTTACAGGTACATACTGTTGCTCGCAAACATTGATGAATATCTACTTAGTGATTTACTCTTTGTCCACACAGTCTTTTTCCAACACTAAAATGAAAACTTTTGATATAAATAAAGATTGTCAAAATAAAAAACAACTCAGAAGTGTGGGGTATGAGATGTATGGATTTGACAGATAAAAGCTGATGGAATTGCGAGGTCTGACATCATATATCAGTGTAGCCACCATGTGTATGACTTATACCACATCATGGGACATTCACAGGTATCTGTGCATGTCTAAAGACAAAGACTTTATGTCCCAGGACTCCACTCCCACCGATCAGGGGTGTATTCACCCCAAGGCAAACAAGGCATCTGCCTTGGGAAGCACTTTCCGGGCGGGCGGCGAGGGAGCACTAATCCTCCTGTTCAGCTCCCTCGCGCGCACCGCAGTGATGCCGGAGCCGGAATATGACGTCATTCCGGCCCGGCATCACTACGCGGCGCGCAAGGGAGCTGAACAGGAGGATCAGTGCTCCCTCACCGACTGCAATGACCAGCCAGCCGCCCAGCAGCCCCACAGGGCCCCATGGAGAAGGTTAATCCACCCCAGCATTCCCAAAGGTAGGGAGGCTGGGGGGGATTGAATTAAAAAATGTGAATGTGTTAATGTGTGAGTCTCTGTTAGTGAGTGTGTGTTAGTGTGCGTGTGTGTCTGTTAGGGAGTGTGTTACTATGTGTGTGTTTTTCTGTTAGTGTGTATGCATGTCTGTTAGTAAGAGTGTATGCATGTCTGTTAGTGAATGTGTGTGTCTGCTAGTGACTGTATGCAGTGCCGTTTGAAAGAATTTGGGGGCCCCAAGCAAAATGGACATGGAGACCCCCCCAACCACCCCACACGCACGCAAAGCCTACAGGAACCACAGCATAGCCATACAGTGTAAGGAAACCAAATATATTTAAACCTCATTCGGTAGTTTCCTCCCGAACCGCCAGAGCCTTAGTGATATAGCCCTCCGTTCGGTAGATAGAATAGACGAACCATATAGTAATCCCAATAGCTTCACAAGACGATTCCCTTAGTGAAACACACGAATCCCCAAACATCAGCCGAAGTCCAGAAGAAGGGTACAAGATGAACTAACTTTTAATGGGTGCACACAGCTTTTATGCAAGTCCCCATGCAAGGGGACAACCCTCAGGGAGGGACAAATATTCACCAATCATATACAGTAAAACTTTAACACACACCCCCAGTTCCCTCCCCTAGCCCTGGAGATAATGAAGTCTGATAAGATAGTAACTTAATTATCTCCGGGCTGAAAAATCACTTTTTTCCTCAATAACTGGAACACCCCTTTATACTTGGGGTATCCCCACAAATAATATGTCCCCTGATAGCCCTGATCTGGGTGACCAACATATTCGAATTTAACCCAGATCGGTTCAGGGGTTCGCGAAAACTATGGATGTCTTCTGTGACCGGCTCACCCTGGGCTGTATGCCCAAAACAGTTCCATGAATTTGGTGGGTTTTGCCGGTCACTTTAGAAATAGCAGAAAAATGAATAAAGTACCGAATGGATCCCTCTGGCTCCTAGCAGTGTTCGTGCCCCTCTGTCGAATACACCAAAGTACCGAATATCGCTCTTCTAGCTATTCGGTAAATAGAGTTCCAGCGTTCGTCTGTTTGGGACCGGTGTTCGGGAAGTCGAGTGTCCATTTCCAGTTCCATGCACTCGACGACCAGGTCCCGCTGCCTTTGTTCACATGAACAAAGATGGCCGCGGTTTTCTCTGCCACGTGGCGTTCGACTGTACGAACGTTGGCCGCACAGACAGAGGTAGCAATTGAACCAGACTTTGATGTTTAACGAGCCAGAGGGGTGGCCTTTGTTCGGTAGTGTGATCCTTGTCAGCAGGTAGCACGGTCCTCTAGGGCAAAACATGCACAGTCCTTATAAGTGCATATACTCCAGGCACTTTATTTGCAAATCCACACAGGATACAGCAGTAAATGAAAACATAAATGTAACAGGTTTCCCTTTAAACAAAAACCTAGCTCGTCTGAGCACTGACTCACTTTAGGTTCCCTATCGCTCAGGGTTAAACTAAACAAAACAATATTGCACCAACCTTATTAGATAGCAACACTCTGCTAGCTAGCCTGTTGCTTTTCTTTCTCCACTCCCAGTGCTCCAAGCCAGCCTTGCCCTGACTGCTTTCATTTCTGCACTCCCAGTGCTCCAAGCCAGCCTTGACTGCTTCCTCCTGCACTCCCAGTGCTCCAAGCCAGCCTTGACTGCTTCCTTTCTGCACTCCCAGTGCCTAGTCTCCTTGACTCTCTATCTGGAGAGAACAGCCTCTCTCCTACCTGCTTCCTGGGAGGAAGCCAGCAATCCCTCTCCTTTACCTGCCTAGCAGGGAGGGGTTTATTCCCACTGCAACAGCTCATTAACTGCAGCTGAGCAGTGGGTTGGAGACGGTCCAAAAAACCCTGGCCTGGATCTATGTCTCCCCAGAAAACCACTAAACTGTGGAGTGGAGCACTGGCCCACCCTTCTCTCCAAATGCTCCACCCCAGGGGCCCATAACTAAACGGTGGTTTGTGTTGCCTACAACACATACTACACATACTCCCCCTGGGGTTAAATGTTATAGGCCTATCTGCCTTCACTTTATCACAGTAGTTACATCTACCGAATGCAATGGGCAGAAATAGTGTAACAAAAGGGAATGCAATGGGTATACATAATACAACAAAAGGAAATTTCTTCACATACAGTTTAAGTTTACCCACACTTTATATATAAAAAAAAAAGGTTTACAGTGCAAATACTGCTGTTGCATATACTGTGCATAAATAAAAAATGTTTACAGTGCAAATACTGCTGTTGCATATAATGTGCATAAAATTTGAACATTTTCAACAATTGCAAAAAACACCACTGTACCATAACATCAAATATAGATTAAAAAAGTGCACAATAACTAAATCCAACATACTTAAAACACTCACTAACAGACACACACTCACCCACTAACAGATACACATTCACAGACAGACACACACACACACTCACTCACATTAACACACTCACTTTTAAAATTTTCTTATTTAACCCCCCCAGCCTCCTTACCTTTGGGAATGCTGGGGGGGTTCTCCCTCTCCCTGGGATCTAGTAGAACTGCTGGGCGGCGCTGGCGAGGGAGCACTTTCCCCTGAGTGCTCTGCTCGGCTCCCTCGCGCGCGCAGAGTGATGCCGGGAGCCAGAATATGACGTCTTATTCCGGCTCCTGGCATCACTCTGCAGCACGCGAGGGAGCCGAGCAGAGCACTCAGGGGAAAGTGCTCCCTCGCCAGCGCCGCCCAGATTGTTAGCCGCAAGGCTAACAAGACATTTGCCCAGGGCATTTGGGGGCGGATTTTCTTGCCGCCCCCTGGAAAGTGCCACCCAAGACAACTGCCTTGTTTGCCTATCGGCTAATACGTTCCTGGTCGTTATCTTGGGGCCCCAAGCAATTGCTTGGTTTGATTGCCTTGTCGCGACGGGCCTGACTGTATGTGTCTGTTAGTGAGTGTGTATGTCTGTTAGCTAGTGTATGTGTGTCTGACACTGAGTGTATATGTGTCTGTCAGTGAGTGTGTATGTGTATTTAGAAGGTGGGGTAGGGCCCCCCAGGCTGGCAGCGGCAGGCACGATGGAAGCACTAATCTTCCTGTTCAGCTCCCTCGCGTGCACGGCAGTGATGCCGGAGCCGGAATATGACGTAATTCCGGCCCCGGCATCACTATGCGGCGCATAGTAAAGATCCTTAAGTTTGACTTTGAGATTTTATTTACTTAACCAGCTGTTGAAAACAAACAAGAACATTCCAAATGTTAACCGAAAATAGATTAGTTCTAAAATATTACATATTGTTATTCACTGAACTAGGAATTGTAGAGAAATGTCAAGAAAACTAAAAATGTTTTATCAAAACAAATCCCCACTTACAAGGTTATTCACTGAACTATAGCTAAAATGCATCAAGCTGAGTCTGTAGGCGAGAGATATTTTTTCCTGAGCATTTTCTCTAAATTTTGCAATATGGGTTTTAAATGTGTTAGCATTGTAAGCTTAGTGAACTTTATTAATCTTTATGAAATACTCATTATGACTGTGTTGGAATTTTAGTGAAATTCCAACACAGTCAAGAGAGAGAGACAAATTATGGACTACTTTGTCTCTATATTTCCCTTCCGCATGACTTGTCTTGATACAAGGCTGAGCCTAAGTGTCAATCCCTGCAGCGAATTGGCTGTGTCTATAAAGCCTCGCTGTGGTCTCCCCCATAGACCTCAAAGCTGTACTCTTGCGCACGTGTGTTGGCGCTGACGAGGACCTCGCCGGATCAAAATGTTGGCGCGCAGGAGAGACTGGTTCAGGTGTGTAAACTCACCTTTACCTTACCCCCACCCCTGGGCAACGAGCGGCAATGTCATCGTCAAGGGAATTCAGCAAAGTCCCCAAAGAGTGGGCTATGTTTTCAATATCTTCACAGATCACTTTGAGTGCCTGAGAATTGTCAGGTTAGGTGATATAGCTCTGCCCCTGCTGGATTAGTGGATACACCCCACACCATGGAGCAGGTATTGCCATCCCGCACCCACCACCAACACAGTGCACCACTCCTGTCCTATTAGTGACACAAGCAAAACCCGGACAATTCCCGCTCCTTAACCCCTTAAGGACCAAACTTCAGGAGTAAAAGGGAATCATGACATGTCATGTGTCCTTAAGGGGTTAAAAACGGGTTCAAGGAGCGAAAACAGCAAAAAACGCGATTGTCCTCTGCGGGGACCCGTCCAGGGCGCCCGGCTACGTCACTCCCCCGGCGGCCATATTTGATTAGGGAATCGGCTTCTCACTCGAAAGCCGCGAGCAGAGAGCGAGCGAGCGCGCGGTCTCGGCTGGTTTCCCTCTCTCGGCAGCTCCTATACAAAGCGGGCGCTAACATGGCGTCTCCCCGCCGTTTTGTTTCTGTGTGGCGATCCCCGCGGGCGGAGGCGGCTCCCTGACGGAGGTGGGGGGGGATAACGCTGGGCTCTCCGTCTCACAGTCCGCGCGCGCGGTAAGGCCAGGCTAGATCTCGCGAGACTCGGCGCACGCGCTCGCTCCTGGGTCCCTGAGCGCGCGCTCCGAACGCCCAGCGCCAGCAGGGGGGCCTCGCGGTGGGTCCTTTCCTTTTTTTTTTTTTTAGGTGTCTTCATAAAATGCCTGCTGCCGCTCGGTTTCTTTTTTCAAGATGGCGTCGATGAGGGAGAGCGACACCGGCCTGTGGCTTCATAACAAGCTGGGCTCGGCGGACGAGCTCTGGTCTCCCCCCAGTATCGCCTCGCTGCTCACGGCCTCCGTCATCGACAACGTGCGGCTCTGCTTCCACAGCCTGTCCTCCGCCGTCAAAATCAAACTGCTCCTGGGGATACTGCACCTCCCGCGCCGGACCGTGGACGAGGTGAGACCCCCCCCCCGGCTCCCAGGGGCCCCAAATACCGGGCCTCCAGCCAGTACAGCACTACAACTCCCAGCATGCATTGCCAGGGGAGCTGCGGGTCTATCATTGCCCAGCACTGCCCCCAAATCTCCCAGCTTTATTAATACCCCCCACCATGTACCCCCACTGAAACAGCTCCTGTGTGCCCTCACCCGTCACACAAATCTCCCAGCTTTATTAATACCCCCCCCCACCACCCCCCACTGAAACAGCTCCCTGTGTGCCCTCACCCTGTCACACCAAAATCTCCCATTAATACCCCCCACCATATACCCCACTGAAACAGCTCCCTGTGTGCCCTCACCCTGTCACACCAAATCTCCCAGCTTTATTAATACCCCCCCTGCAATACCCCCCACTGAAACAGCTCCCTGTGTGCCCTCACCCTGTCACAAAATCTCCCAGCTTTATTAATACCCCCACCATATACCCCCCACTGAAACAGCTCCTGTGTGCCCCTCACCCTGTCACGCAAATCTCCCAGCTTTACATACCCCCACCATATACCCCCACTGAAACAGCTCCTGTGTGCCCTCACCCTGTCACACCAAATCTCCCAACATTACCCCCCCACCCATCTGTGTGCCTCACCCTATCACACCAAATCTCCTTCTACTATATACCCCACTGAAACAGCTCTCTGTGTGCCCTCACCCTGTCACACAAATCTCCCAGCTTTATTAATACCATACACTAAACAGCTCTTGTGCCCCTCACCCTGTCACACCAAATCTCCCAGCTGACCCCAACAGCTCCTTGTGCCCCTCACCCACACCACCCCCACCCCCCACTGAAACAGCTCCTGTGTGCCCTCACCCTGTCACACCAAATCTCCCAGCTTTATTAATACCCCTGAAACAGCTCCTGTGTGCCTCACCCTGTCACACAAATCTCCCAGCTTTATTAATACCCCCACTGAAACAGCTCCTGTGTGCCCCTCACCCTGTCACAAAATCTCCCAGCTTTTATTTACCCCCACTGAAACAGCTCCCTGTGTACCCTCACCCTGTCACACCAATCTCCCAGCTTTATTATTTACCCCACCACTTTCAAAACAGCTCCTGTGTGCCCCTCACCCTGTCACAAATCTCCCAGCTTTAATTCCCGAAACAGCTCCTGTGTGCCCTCACCCTGTCACACAAATCTCCCAGCTTTATTTACCCCCACTGAAACAGCTCCCTGTGTGCCCTCACCCTGTCACACCAAATCTCCCAGCTTTATTATTACCCCACTGAAACAGCTCCCTGTGTACCCTCACCCTGTCACACCAAATCTCCCAGCTTTAATATCCCCCCCACCATGTACCCCCCACTGAAACAGCTCCCTGTGTACCCTCACCCTGTCACAGGTCACACAGTAACACAGTATTACTGCAGGGCTCAAGGAGAGAGGGGAGAAACTGCAATAATAAACATTATGCTGGTCCAATTAAAATACTGCACATACTGCAATACTCTATCTTATTTATAATATATAATATGCAATCTGACTTTCTTTTCACTCTTACTAGACATTTTTTATTTACATCACTGCAATACTTTTAAATATACCACATTATAATTCTATTTAAATATCTGTATGGAGAGTCATGTATACATGGCAAAAGCAGTGTTGACAGGGGGTGTGTGTGTGTGTGTATGTATGTGTGTATATGTATGTATGTATGTATGTATGTGTATATATATATATATATATATATATATATATATATATATATATATATATATATATATATATATATATATGTGTATGTTATTTTATTTATTTTACAAATTCTGAGCCCATATCTCCATGCTGATATAATGTGAAAAGAGAAAACACAGAAGTGTCTTGAGTATGTAGCATTCATATGCCGTGAAGAGCGAATATATGTATTCAACGGAGTCCTCTCAAAGGGAAGTGATTCGATGACTGGATTTTTCTTACAGTAGCTTACCAATTATATATGCTGTGTGCTGGCAGCATTTTGCATGTGATGCCCAACATATCCAGGTTAGCATAGATTTCCCCCCTGCGCCCCCCAAGTTAGTTTATCCCTGCCAGTACGGAAATATGTGGCAAGTGTAGAACGACTGTGAGTGAGCAGATTGCTGGTGTTTGTTTAAAGCGTTGCAAAAATGCACCTTTTATTTCTATATTTCTTCAGCAACCTATTTAGAGGAAAAAAATGTTGGAATATGATTTATTCTAGCTGAACCTTTGACAGTTGGAATACAGACTTTGTACAACTTATATGACTGCAAATTCCTGTCCTAATGTATTTTACACCCCACCTCCTATATAATGTAAGTTCGATTGAGCAGGGTCCTCTTCAACCTATTGTACCTGTAAGTTTTTTTTTTTTTTTTTTGTAACACTCTTCTTTATAGTTAAATCCTTCTCTCGTAATATTGTAAAGCGCTACGGAATCTGTTGGCGCTATATAAATGGCAATAATAATGTCTGTAATTTCTGCAAAAACATGCATATGGCACCTTTTACGAACAATAGAAGGATTGAGAAAATTAGGGCATGCTTCCTGACCTGAGTGAGCATCTCTACTACTGTCTCCCTCTACTGCTAGGCATTGCGCTGTCACTCACTGAACAGGCATCTTTGTAACATTCAGCAAAACCTCTGACACTTGTGGGCTGTTACTACTCTTATACAGGGTGCGCTACGTAGAATAAATGAGATAAATGGTACAAATAGGAGATATTTACAAAGAAAGTCTCTGAAAATACAAGGTGGGTCTTGGGTAGGTCTTCTTAGATCCTTGATAAGGTCCTCAGTGGTTGATATTAAAAAAAGACCAATAGTGCAAAACTGTATGGGGATGGTGTCACGGACAACACAGAAAAGAGAAATGCCAACTCACGATCGATAGAGCTATGCCCAGCTCTAGGTAAAACAGCATACAGTGGTATTTGGAACTCCCCACATGTAGGATATAGCTGGACAATAGGTAATTCTTCAATATTTTGTACAACGACTCAAATATGTGTCAGCATATAAAAAACGGACCAATGGTACAATAGCGTATGACACCTGCAGCTACAAAATTGTCAGTTGTGGTCCTACTGTAGCTTTCCGTGGAAGACTTGTATCTCATGAACAACTTTATGCGTGCATTCACAAAACCGCATTGCTGTGTAAATATTTGTTTAAAAGTTTCATTCTTGAATGAGTAATTTAATGAAAACTGTTCATGCAAAATGAATGGTAACTTTATTTACGTTATTGTTTCAGTCACATTCTTGCAGTTTTGCTGGGTAGAGTATCGGTTCCCCAAAATAATTTTATTGAAGATCTTATAGGTCAAGTAGCAGTCGTGGTTTACGTGTGAACAAGAAAGAACAGTTTGTCATATGAATCAAGAACCAAATCTGCTTACTGTGCAATGGTGCCAGTGGACTGTTGTCACTAAAACTCCTACAGCAATTAGCAGTGGTTATGGTATGGAGTGCTCCTTTAAATTATCTGTAGTTCACACTGCAGGGGTGCCCAAACAGTAGATCCCCAGATGTTGTAGAGCTAAACTCCAATGATGCTTTTATCTGGTGGTCTACATTTTGGGCACCTCTAGCGTAGTGTCTATGGGTAAAGCCCAAGTAGTCTGCCAGTAGAGAATAAAAAATTTATTTATTTGGTTGCATCTCTCTCATGCGCTCTCTCATCATGCTCTTGAAGTTGGTGTTTCATATGTGAAAATAAAGATGACACCAGGCAGTATCTTCCACAGTCTGTTTGCTTAAAATTACTTGCTTGATAGAGGTGAATAGGAACCTGTAACAGAATTTTACTGTAGTTGTAAGGGGGCTAGGAGTGATCCCCTTGATTTTAATTCACTCGAGTGTTTACTTTGGCATACAAACCTTTTCTTTAACTGATTTATTAATGTTAAACCAGGGCTTGACTAATTTGCTTGGAATCTAGAAGCCAGCTCGAAAATTTAGGAGCCAAAGAAATCCACGATTAAAATACAATTCTTAAAGGGACACTATAGTCACAGACCCACTACAGCTTAATGTAGTTATACTTAAAGGGACACTCCAGGCACCCAGACCACTTCTGCCCATTGGAGTGGTCTGGGTGCCAACTCCCACTACCCTTACCCCTGCAAGTGTAATTATTGCAGTTTTCATAAACTGCAATATTTACATTGGAGGGTTAAGTCCTCCTAGTGGCTGTCTACTAGACCGTCACTAGAGGACACTTCTGTCCTAGAACATGAAAAGTGTTATAAAAACGCTGGACGTCCTCACACTATGTTAGGACCTCCAGCGTCTCCGAAATCCCCCTAGGAAAGCATTGAAAGCCTTATTCAATGCTTTCCTAGGGGGAGGTCTAATGCGCGTGCCGACATTGATGTCGGCGGGGGAGGAGCATGGGCGGACCCTGACCCAGCACTGTGGGACATCAGCGCTGGATACAGGTAAGTCACAGAATGGGGTTTTAACCCCTTCAGTGATGGGGGGACCTGCAATGCCAGGAAAACAAACTGGATAGTCCTTTTAAGTCTATATCCTGTCCCTGAATGCTTTTCAATGTAAACACTGAATTTTCAGACAAAGGCAGTGTTTACATTGCTGCCTGGTGACACCTCTAGCGACAGTCACTCAGACGGCCTCTAGAGGTGCTTACTGGGTCAGTGCTTCACAATGTGCAACACGTACATTAATGTTTCATATAGGTATGCATTGATTCAATGCACCTTTATGAGAAATTAAATTTGTGCAGTGGCATTTTGCATGTGCAATAGTTTCCAATGCTTTCCTATGGGGAAGCATTGGATTGGCTGAGATAGTCAGGATTGAAGAGGGGCCAGCTACGGCGTGAGTGAAAACACCTTTCCCATGTGATTAGAAGGAAGACACACTCAGTCCGATAGTTTCGCTCATAAACATTCAGACACACACTCACAAGTTATTACTTTTGTATTTAAATCCATCCAGCCTCCTTACTTCTGGAGTGGATAGGCTTTCCCTGGGGTTCAGTGGGGCTGCTGTCATCTCCCTACTCTTCTGTTTAGTGGGTCAGAGTGAATGAGCAGAGCAGCGAAATTACAGCTCCCACGCCGCGGTTCTAAGTCAGCCGTCCGCCCCCTCACTCAGCAATACATGAGCCGGCCAGCTGACCGCCTCCCTCAGTCAGCAGCCTGCCTCAGCCCTCCGTGACCCGACTGCAGTCTCTGCTCTCAGGCAGCCGGTCACCTTAGGGGCTGAACAGGGTCACAAATCCCGGGCCACGGCGACCTGGCGCCTGGGATTTGTCGAGCCCTGTGTTACTTACAAAATGTGATTTGTGCAATAATTGCCTATAATTAAACAGTTTACTGTGAATGTATTGCAAATATGCAAGTAACTAGCAGTTCTGGCTGCAAACATCTGCAGAGAAAAGGTTCTTGCTGGAGGGTTGTCTGTCTGGTCCCTTATTTCATTGAAGATCAAAGTAAGCTGCCCACGTAGACTGCAGGTCACTGAATTGATTAGTATTGTTGGCAGAAACGTGTTAAGTCTTTGCAGTGGAGGTCTGATTGGAGAACTCTTAAAGGAACACTGCTTAATGTAGTTGTTTTGCTGAGTATAATAGATCCCTTCAGGCATTTTCATGTAAACACTGCCAAAGGTAAGAAGGCTGGGGGGGGAGGGGTTAAAAAAAAAAAGGCAGTGTTTACATTGCCCCTAGGGACACCTCCAAGTGGCCACTCCTTAGCAGCCCTGCCGTTCAGCGTCCCCACGCTCTGCATGAAGAAGCTGAATTTTCCTCATAGAGATGCATTGATTCAATGCATCTCTGACGAGGTACTGATTGGCCAAAACGGGATTTGGCCCTGTGCATATTTTAGCCAATCCAATGCTTTCCCTATGGATTGGCTAGAAATCGGCCATTTTGATGGTGTCAAAAAAGGGGAGTTTTAAACTTTTTTTTATTTTTTTTTATCGGGGGGGGCAAGCAACCTAAATGGTGGGTTAAAAACTATAGGGTCATGAATACATGTTTGTGTTCCTGATCCTATAGTGATCCTTTAAATTCTGCAATATGTGTGTACTTTAGCCTGAGTCTCTGGGTATCGTTCAAACTCTGCTTATTCGGTTCATATGTGGAGGGATGGAAATCCTTGTAATATTTACCAAAAAAGTCATTTGAAATGCTGCAATTTGTGATGCAGAGTATTGGGTGTTTAAAAAATAAATAAATAAATCTAGCATCAATTTTAAAAAATGGTTTTGATCAGTCTTATTTTTGTGGTGGAAAATGTGTAATGAGGACCACCCCAACACCCATTAGAACATGGAACACTCCACTTCTCAAGTGCGAAACGGCAAAGGAAACAATAAATGCTCCACTGCGTAGCCGCCATTTTCTCTCCCGAAGGCAGGCAGCGGTACCTGGTCATCGAGTGCCTGGAACTTATTTCGGATAGGCACTCTGGTGAAGATGAAACTGTTGCATGTTTAGAGACGAACGGCTTTCGGCAGATAGAGTGTAACTTATTTGAGCAGTGTTCACAACTACCTATTGTTCCTGTTGCATTTTATTGTCTCGTTTGGTAAATTCCCCTCTTATTCTAAAGCGCTGCGGAATAAGCTGGTGCTATATAAATAATAACCAATAATTACCGAATGGAGGGAGCATTCGCTACGTGAAAGCAATGGAATATCCTTTGTGGTTTTCGAATAAAAACCCTCGAACTGAGACTGGCCGTTGCCACTATTTCTCTGGAACTATTTTGGGCTTCTACCTTGTGGTCGGCCAGTCAAAACTTTACCCCAGTGGAATTCCAAACTATTGAACCAATCGGAGGGCTTTTTGGATATGTTAGGCGCTCAGATCAGGGCTATCCGGGGATGTGACTCTCAAGGGGTTTCCATGTATTTTGGGGTGTTGTAAAACATTTTTTATACTTTTCTGTACTTGTGACATAAGTTACAGGTTTCCTGACTCAATTATCTCAGGCACAGGGAGGAGTTTTACTATGTATAAATTGCTTATCTGAAATTAACAGATCTACTCCCTGCATTCAGTCTCGACTAATGTATGGGGGGGAAAGCTATACCAGCGGTATTTACTTTAATGGTTGATAGAGCTACTTCACTTTGGGAAAGGGAGTCCATGGCGGTGATATAGTGGCGGTCCGCCACACTGAGTACCTCTGTAATCTGGGCTAAAATCCATAGCTACTCATAACCTGTACAACAAACATACACCTCTCTCTGGGAACTTCCTGGAGACGGGTACTTCAGTACAGCTTTTTTTGAGGTAGGAAATGACTGAGACAGTTGATTTCAATAATTTTAGAAAAAAGTGTACTTTACAGGAGCCAACTTTTGTATTATCAATGCAACTGAGTTGAGTACTTGTTGGGCACAGGATTTTTATTTAGTTTTCTTTCCCTCTCCTGGCGTGTCCTTCCTTTGAGGCAATCGTCACATTGTACATTTTTGTAAAAAGCTTTGAAAAGTTCAATGTGTGTGTTTGTCTATATATTTGGATCAGTTGCCTGAGGGATTTGTGAAACGCTGACATTGATGGACTTTTAAAGTGACATTTCAATTTATAATCTCTGCTAGAAGACTCCTTGCACAGTCAAGGGTAGGCATCCTTTGGCACTCCAGGTGTTGTGTACTAAATCTCCCATAATTCTCTTGCAGCCATAATGCTGGCAAAGCATCAGGGGAGATATAGTCTACAACATCTGGTGTGCTGAAGGTGGTCTACCCCTGGGAACGGTGATGTCTCCTAATACGTAGCTAATAACTACGGGGTTTTGCAAATGTATCTGTACTCAAGCCCTCTCCTTCCATGTCAGGGGAAGCTATACTTACTCTAATTTCTGTCTCTAATCACTTGCTCCACAGTTGTTTGCATGCACAGTACGCAGCATGGGCGACTGCTGTATACAGGACCAATAAAAACTGCATGGGGATGCCGAAATAATAGCAGCTGTTACCCACTTATTCATCAGCTACAATAAGAGGCTCCTATTTATGCCTTTACCTTCCCTCGCAGAGCTCTCTTCCTTGCTGGCTGGCTGTGTATTTACATCAGGAATATTACAGTGGCAAAGTGTTACACTCCAACCTGCACCATATCAATTCATACCAGGCATTGTTGTAGTGATGTGCTGAGAGCATTTACCTGATGCTGTCAGCCCATCACTAAACAGTTTAACCATAAATTTGGGCCAGGCACATGAGGACTCCAGGCACTGTAACCACTCTACTTAATCAAGGGAAGTTATGGTGCTTATCATATCCCTTTTGTGTCATAGTAAGTGTATCATTACTATGATATACTAGATCAGGGGTTAGGCAACCTTTGGCACTCTAGATGTTCCAAACTACTTCTTTGTAATGTTTTTACAGCCATGATGCTGTCAGAGAATCAATGGAGATGTAGTCCACAACATATGGAGTCCCGATGGTTGCCTTCCCCTGCACTAGATCATAAAACCATATGTTTGATCCATACCTCCCTATACACAGCAGATCCAGATGTGACTTTTGGCTTTGCCTCTAGTTTTCAGTTTGTGAATACATTACACTCCTATAAAGATGTTAATCCAACACGCTGGAAGCTGGTCTTTGTAAAGAGTTAATGGCTGCAAGGTGAGCTTCCTTAGAGGTGAACTTGTTTCATTCTATTGCACCAGCACATGATGAAACAGAGAAACTGTGTTATTGCAAAAGGTTCTTCTTTTGTTTTCAAAGTGTCAGGTATTCTCAGAAGTGTTAAAAAAAATAAAAAAAAAGAAATAAAATAAAATCCCCTATTCCTTTCACCACCACTCAAAAAATAAAAAAATGTATTAAAACATTATAAAGGCCTTTTTAGCCACACACCACTGGCATGTTTTATACAAATACATTTATAAAAAATAAATTGCTTGTAATATTTAAAGCAAAACTATAGCATTAGGAATACAAAGTACAAGTGACTTCTCATTGTTTAGAATCCAGAACTCCACATACAGTAAAAAATAAATATTAATTTACCCGGTACAGCTGCCCACTCCTGTAACAATGGCATCTGGCAGGTGTCGTTTAAATATCTTCTCATCCTCATCAGGAAGACAGCCAGTAAAGGTGTGTTTAGCCCTACAATAGAAACCTTACTGCGTCTACTAGACCACAATGTCATTGCAGGGCAAAACCTAAAAGATTACTGTATCCAGAAGATTTTGTTGAGTATATTATTATATTCTAGCTATTGGGACTGTACTTGAAGTCTTCTGACATTTGATTTAAGTAGCATTGTCACTTCTGGCTTTATCACAAACAACAAACCTTACACACAACCTATGAATGATGATCAAAATGTTGGCGAATGTAGCAAAAGGCACATCCAGCATCACTTGCTAACTGGTGTCTAGTGCAGAAGAAGACTGTTGCATCTCATTAAGCGTGCTTGAGAAGATCTGTAGCAGATGTTTGACATCTATAGTGTTTGTCAAACCGAAGTCAAATTTTTTTTTATTTTTTTTTTTTTTGGTCTGCTTTATGGGATCTTTGTAGAACTTACTTTCTCTGTAGAAACAGTGTTTGCCTTCATTCATTCTCTGTGTGCCTAACAAAAAATTTGTTGAATTTAGTCTTTAAGTTTCACATTGACCTATTGGTGGTAAGTGGTATTGACTGTGTTGTGCTTCCTATAATGCTGCTTATAAGTGCACCTATTAGAAAATGTCCTGTTAAGACTACTCTTTTCCATCTTAAAGGGATACTGTAGGCATCAAAACATCTTTAGCTTAAAGGAACACTATAGTCACCTAAATGACTTTAGCTAAATAAAGCAGTTTTAGTGTCCAGATCATTCCCCTGCAATTTCACTGTCATTTAGGGGTTAAATCACTTTGTTTCTGTTTATGCAGCCCTAGCCACACCTCCCCTGGCTATGATTGACAGAGCCTGCATGAAAAAAACCAAACTGGTTTCACTTTCAAACAGATGTAATTTACCTTAAATAATTGTATCTCAATCTCTAAATTGAACTTTAATCACATACAGGAAGCTCTTGCAGGGTCTAGCAAGCTATTAACATAGCAGGGGAAAAGAAAATCTTAATTAAACAGAACTTGCAATAAAGAAAGCCTAAATAGGGCTCTCTTTACAGGAAGTGTTTATGGAAGGCTGTGCAAGTCACATGCAGGGAGGTGTGACTAGGGTTCATAAACAAAGGGATTTAACTCCCAAATGGCAGAGGATTGAGCAGTGAGGCTGCAGGGGCATGTTCTATACGCCAAAACTGCTTCATTAAGCTAAAGTTGTTCAGGTGACTATAGTGTCCCTTTAATGAAGCCGTGTTTGTGTTTAGATCAAGCTACTGTGGTCTTACTACTCCATTATCTGCCACTTGGGAGTTAAATCGCATTTGTTTCTGTCTATGCAGCCCTAGCCATACCTATTGTCACCAGAACTACGACTTATTGTAGTTGTTCTGGTGTCCACTGCTGGTCCCTGCAGGCTTTTTATTTTGTAAAGACTGCCTTTTTAACCATATATTGTCCGGAAAGCCCATTTTGTTTCCTGACTTTTCTTTAAGCTAAAGTTGTTTGTTTTAGTGCCTATAGAATCCATTTAATGTTTAAGGAGACATGTATGCAGCCTCCTATTCTTCACTCGCAGCATAAAAGTTGTTACCTTCCCATCCAACTCCAAGGCAGCCCCAGCTGCAGTTCCTAATAGTATGGTTGCTTTCCACTTATTCAGCACTTCTGCTCATCCTATGTGCAGCATTTTAATTTTTCAGATATAAAACATGCAATTTGTTTTAAGTTTTTTTTTTTATCAGATGAAAGCACGTACTGGTGCTGCCTGGTCTTGATGCAAATGTCAAGAGTTAAGCTATAGGCAGAGAGCTTCCGGCTCTCAAAGAGGCAGGGACTGGAATTTGGCGGATCCCAACTAAAAAGTCGTGCCAGTCATTTACATGAGAGGGAGTGTTAGAGCTCTCCTGTCCCCATAACCTTTAGAGCATGCTGTAGTGGTTATGGTAATTGATGTGTTGCCTTAAATAACCAACTACGTAGGTTCTTTACTAAAATGTTGTCGAAATGGTGCTCAAGTAAAAACTGTTCCGAATGGGGTGGGAAAAATAATCAGCCAACAGCACACCAGTCACTTAATTTTTACACCCTTAAGGACTGAACGAGTGCAGTTCCATGTTCTTAAGGGACACATATCAATTTTCTCTGTATTAATCGTGTGTGTGTGTGTATGTATGTATGTATGTATGTATATATGATTTTATTGTGAAACTAATGGTCTTATCATAATGTTCTCTCTTCAGATGAAAGGCGCTCTGACTGAAATCATCCAACTGGCTACCTTAGACTCTGATCCCTGGATATTAATGGTAGCTGATATATTGAAAACCTTTCCAGATACAGGATCCTTAAATCTTGACCTCGAGGAGCAAAATCCAAATGTTCAGGACATCTTAGGAGAACTTCGAGAAAAAGGCAAGCTACCAATTCTCACAATCTATTTAGTCCAGCATTTTTAATACCACTGCCGTCTCTGAGCTTGTTTACTCTTAAAGGGATACTCCAGTGCCAGGAAAACAAATTGTTTTCCTGGCACTGCAGGTCCCCTGTCCCTCCCACCACCATCCCCGGTTGCTGAAGGGGTGAAAACCCCTTCAGTCACTTACCTGAGACCCCCGCCGATGTCCCTCGACGGTGGTTTCGGGTCGCCGCTCCTCCCCTTCCTTATGTTGGCTAGTGGGCAAGACTGATGCCGCCGGCCGGGGAGACCTAATGCGCATGCTTTTCAATGCTTTCCTATGGGCAATTGAGCACCGCTGGAGGTCCTCACACAGCGTGAGGACATCCAGCGACGCTATAGTACAGAAAACCTATGCTATAGACACGGAAGTTCCCTCTAGTGGCTGTCTAGTAGACAGCCACTAGAGGAGGAGTTAACCCTACAAGGTAATTATTGCAGTTTATAAAAAAAAAAAAAAAAAAAACTGCAATAATTACACTTGCAGGGTATAGGGTAGTGGGAGTTGGCACACAGTAAAGATAAAGATACTCCGGTATTGTGAGTGGAAATCTTGGACCTATATAAACTATTCGCTGTGACATTAACACCCTTCACTCACTTTAAAAAAAAGTGCTCTGAATCTTGTTACTTTGTGTGTGTATTTTAGAATTGTTACTAGCAGTGCCTGTGTATTTTGTAGCGTTTTGAGTGTGATGTTACACTTAATAGGTGTTTGAGTGGTGTTTTATTTCTATTTACCGTATATACTCTAATATAAGCCGAGGTACTTAATTTTACCACAAAAAACTGGGAAAACTTATTGACTAGAGTATACGCCTAGGGTGGGAAATGCAGCAGCTACTGGTAAAATTAAAAATAAAAATAGATCCCAATAAAATTACATTAATTGAGGCATCAGTAGGTTAAATGTTTTTGAATATTTATTTACAGTATGTGTATAGAATGAATGGTGTGTGTGTGTGTGTGTGTGTGTACATATTGAGTGTCGTGTGGGGAGGGCATTTTTAATATTTTAATAATATCGCGGTCTGCGTGCAGCGCGGAGCGTTGCCATGGTAACCTGTGGCAACACTCTGACTGCTGCGGGACTCTCAAGATTTAGATGGAGGAGCTGCAGGGAGCTGCTGGAAAGGTAATGAGCCGGCAGTCCTGGTCTATATTATGGCAATGTAAGTTGCCATAATACAGACCCTGACTCGAGTATAAGCCGAGGGGGGCTTTCTCAGCACAAAAAATGCTTATACTCTAGTATACACGGTATTTATTTTACTAACTCTTCCTTGGTTATAAAGTAGGGATGCACCGAAATTAAAATTCTGGGCCAAAACGGAAAATTATTTTTTTTTTTTAATTATCTATTTATTTTTTTATAATTTCAGTAATACTAGACTTTTTAATTAATTTAATGAAGTCTAATATGAAAAACTGCCCTCCTCCATTCTCTTTTAGTGGCCCCTCTACCCCAGTGTTCCTTTTCCCTTCCTTGTACCTCAGTCCCCCCCGCCCCCTTTTATAGTGTTCTTTCTTCTCCCCCGTCCCATAGTGTACTTTTCTTCCCCCTCCCTTGTCCCATAGTGTACTTTTCTTCCCCTTCCCCTGTCCCATGACGTCCCCTTCCCCTGTCCCATAGTGTTCTACCCACCCTGTCACAAGTGCAGTATTCTTGACTTTTCATGTTATCATTACTATCTTTCATTGTGATCTATAATCATCTGAATTGTCAATGCAAGCATGTCTGTTAAACTATGCACTACAAAAATAAATAATGTATATTACAAAAAAGAGAGAAATCGGCAAAATGTGACCAGTTTTCGGCTGATAATTTAGGTGCATCCCTACTATAAAGCAGGATTGATGCCCCAGTATAAAGTTTTAATAACTGACTTTTTGGTTTGTTGACATTCTATTTGTATGATCAATTAACATGCTAGTATGGATTTTTTTTTTTTTTAGGATTTTCCCAACACACACATGCCATTTATTCTATACACTACAGCTTATTCTTGTGCAAGTAGTCAGATTGCAGTCACGTTTGATTCTTAACCACAACGTGCTTGGCAATCATGTGAATGTAGTGCTGCTGGATGTCCTTTTATAAACTTGTGTTTTCCTGTATGGGCATCATGCTGTAAATCTAGGAACTTCTGGCTTCCTCTCCCACATAGAGGAAGGTTGTACTGTCTATGTACTGATTTATAATTCCATTATACCAGGTTTACTTTTCTTGCTCTCACCCAGTTAGTGAATGCGAGGCTTCTTCAATGCTACCTCTGGAGTGCCAGTACCTAAACAAGAATGCCCTGACAATGCTGGCCGGACCACTTACTCCTCCAGTGAAACATTTCCAACTCAAGCGCAAACCAAAGAGTGCCACGCTCAGGGCTGAGCTTTTACAAAAATGTAAGTTGTTCGCGTGCTTAACACTTAAGGTGACCTCTCATGTCTTGTAAAAAGTCAAAGCTGGTTTTTCTGTAACTTTTGCTAAACCTTATTGTTTCTCTTGTAGTTTATGAATGAATACATTGTTTGTTTTTAGCCACAGAAGCTGCACAGCAACTGAAAAAGACAGCAGGAGTTCCATTTCATGCGAAAGGAAGGGGCCTGGTGAAAAAACTGGACACAACTAGTAAGTTTAACCTTGCTGATATGCAAGCAGTATATTGCTTTTCATTTTTTCCCCTCTATTTTTGAAGAAGATTGTATAGGAGGTCTGTAAGCTGTGCAGAATTTACAGTGAGCTCTCCCTAAACCCGAAAGCAACTGGTTACTAGACTTTTTTTTTCTTTTTTTCTTCTAAAGCAGTGCTTGGCTCTCCATAACCAGTGCTCTAAGAACACAGCTAGAGTTTCTGGACTCTGGTTGAATTACACTGCATGTGGAACAAAACTGGTGCTTGGTTTGCCTTTAAAAATAACACTAAAGAACATTAAAGGGACACTAGTCTCCAAAACAACTTTATTTTAATGAAGTAGTTTTGGTGTATAGATTATGCCCCTGCAGCCTCACTGTTCAATTCTCTGCCATTTAGATGTTAAATTACTTTGTTTAGGAAGCCCTAGTCATACTTTCTGTAAAGCGGCATCTAATGTTTACACTTCCTGTATTGCAAATTCTGTGTATTTTAAAGCTTCCTAGACTCTTCAAGAGCCTCTGTATGTAATTACATTTTAATTTACAAAGCAGAAGATACAAACTTTTAAAGTAAGTTACGTCTGATTGAAAATTAAACCACTTTATTTCATGCAGGATGTGTCACTCCCTGACCAGGGAAGGTCAACAAAAGTAATTTAACTCCTAAATGGCACATAATTGAGCAGTGAAAGTTCAGAGGCAGGATCTATACACTAAAACTTCTTAATTAAGCTAAAGTTGTTTTGGTGACTAGAGTGTCCCTTTAAGAAGGAAAATTCATAACTGTAACTTTACATGAGCACTACAGGGTCAGGAACACAAACATGTATTCCTGACCCTTTAGGGTTAAAACCACCATCTAGCCACCCTGGTCCCCTCATGCCTCCCTAAATATAGTAAAATCTTACTTGTATTCAAGTCTGGAGATGCTTACTTTGTCCATTTCCTTTTGACCTTCCCACTGACCTCATCAGTAGTGGTAGCATTATCCAATCACAATGCTTCCTCATAGGATTGGCTGAGACTGACAAGGAGGCAGAGCCAGCACAGAATCTCTGAGGAAAGTTCAGTGTCTGCATGCAGAGGGAGGAGATACTGAATGTTTGGATGCATTTTAGGCAGCCATGACCCAGGAAGGATCTCCAACATCTATCTGAAGAGTGGCCAGTGAAGTTATCACTAGGCTGCAATGTAAACACTGCATTGTCTCTGAAAAGACAGGGTTTACAACAAAAACCCTGAAGGTAATGATTCTACTTGCCAGAACAAATGCAATAAGCTGTAGTTGTTCTGGTGACTATAGTGTCCCTTTAATACACATAGCACTAAACATATGTTGGGGTGTGTTGGTCCTTTTTAAAGGTCTCTGGCATATTTGCACAAGGACCAAGTAATGATCTTGACCCATTCTTACATTTTCAATATGGCTTTTTAATATAAAAACCCTTGTGCTGGTTAGCTGAGTGGCACCATCAGAAGTGCTGCTAATTGTCTGACAGTGCCCATAAACGGTCATCAGCAAAACCACTATACTAAGCTGTAGTGATTATTTTGCTTGGTGTCCTTTTCAAATTTACTTGAACACAAATCTGCACACACTAAAAAAAGCACCTGAATTCTTAATTTTTTTTTTATTTATTTTTTTATTTTATTTTATTCATGTTCTCCAATCAGCTCCTCTGAAAGGCATACCAAAGCAAGCTCCATTCAGGAGTCCAACTACACCTAGTGTATTTAGCCCAACGGCAAACAGAACACCCATTGCACCTTCCAGAACACCGCTGAGGAAAGAGAGAGGTGTCAAGGTATGTGAACATTCTTTTAATCATTTTCCTTCACTCCATGGAGTTTTATTTTATTTATTTATTTTTTATTTATTTTTTTTGAGTACATCTTGTTGACATAGTTTGTCTAGGCTATGCAGAGCTTTAGATTGATTTATTTTTATATATTTTTTTTGGCTTAAACAAAATTAACTTTTTAAAGTCTATATTTTTACAGCTTCAGGAAATAAAACTTTCAGATGATTATATATTCTTGCATTTACTGTTTTGATAGTTTTTGGACATAAAGGAACTGGACATGGTTGGCGCAGGCCGAGAAGCCAAGAAGAGGAGAAAGACTGTTGGTGAATATAGTGTGGTTTTACAAATGTTGGGGCGTTTTAAACCAACTGACTGTTGCCATTTGTTTAAATCTGAAGAATTCAAAGAGTTTTTTTTTTGGTTTGTTTTTTTTTTAATCAAAAGATGTGGAAGTTGTGGAAAAACCCCAAAAAGAAGAGCCTGTTGTGGAAAGTGCTACTCCAGATTATGCTGCTGGCCTTGTACCTACTACACAAGTACGTCTGTCTTATAGTCTTTTTACAAACCAGTTTATTTCAAGTCCACCTTTTTATAAAGAAGTCAGCTTGCATGGGGCATACATACATTTATTTATTTATATATATATATATATATATATATATATATATATATATATATATATATATATATATATATATATATATATATATATATATATATATATAAAATTTATTTACTATATTGATTTTCTATACTATGTATAATATATATTTTTAGTTTAATGTTTTGTCGTTTCCATGTATCAGATGAAACTGCTTACAATGACTTTCTATCCTCTGTGTAGAAACTTAGTGCTCTGAACTCAGAGAGTGCACTTCCATCTACCAGCTACATGCCTGCCACCCCGAGTGTGGTACCATCCTCCTCTTATATCCCAACGTCGGAAGCACAGCAGGGTGAGCAAAGAAATGGGTCGGGCATGTACATCCCTGTATGTGGTCATTATAGCACCGCTAGTTATTTTATTTATTCGTTTAGCATTCTTAAGTGATTCTAAAAAAAAAAAGTGTATTATTCTGTGTACTTGTCAGTAGGAAGGTGTTTATGTACTATTTGTGCATTGCCTTGTTTTCATTTTATATTGCTCATATTTGACACGGTCGTCATTGTCAGCCATGTGATTAAATAAAGTTTGGTTTTTGGTTTCCGGTCCCGTAGCTGGATCTGTACGGGAAGCCTTGCAGACTACGAGACAAACTGAGGAGTCCATACCTTCTAGCAATCCACCTTTTAAGCAAAGGACTCCTATGTATCACAGCAATTCCAATGCCGCTGCTGCCACCACACCCACACCTGCAGCCACGCCTACCTCTCCACTAACACCTGCAGCGCCTCCACTCGTGTCTCCAGCAGCTCAGGCACCTCAGATCACCACTCAACCTCAGCCCAAAAAAAGTCTCTCTCTCACAGTAAGCATCGTCTTCTCTTCTCTGCAGGGTTTAACTTTATCATGAAATCTGTTTGTAAAATTAGTTTGGTAAAAGAGCAAATACCTCCTCTACTGTACGAAGGCCAAGTGGAGTCTACATATCATGGATGTATTAAAAGCAAGGTGCTTACAAATTCCACCTCTGCCAGCCTTAACTCTACCACTTGGAATGTCTTATATTAATAAGGATTTATTAATAACTAGCAATTCTAAATTCCAAATGGAAATCTCATGTGAAGCATGTCTTGTTTATCTTGGTGGGGGGAAATATAAAATAGATTTTCTGAGTCAGCACCAATATGTCGAACAATTAACAGTTAACAGTTTTAATTTCAGTTTAAATTGGCACTTTTATAATTGTGGGCAGAAACATTTCTCAAGCTGTCTGACATTTTCTTCCACCGGCTCCACACCACAGAGCTGGCAGGAATGGCAGCTCCAGCTCCTTGAGAATCAGAAGATAGCTGCAGTCACCGCTCCAGGGCAGTGGCTTCTTGATGAGATTTTTAGTCTGTGCCGTGGAAAGAGTGGAGGGCTCCCGCTGGTCTGCAGCTTTTGCAAGCAAGCTGGTTTTTCATGTACCCCACAAGAAAACCATCAAGGAAAATAAAATCTTTGGGGGTATATCTATTAAATTGTAAAAAAAAAAATGAGGTTTTCCTTTAATAATGCTTAAAATGTTTTTCAGATACTGACGTAGGTGGATACTGTATTCTTGTTTATAAATCATAACCATTTCTAATTAAAACACAATGTATATGCATGGAAGGTAGGTTAATTGTCCTTTAATATTGTGTCATTGTTTCAGAGAGAACAAATGTTTGCTGCACAAGAAATGTTCAAGACTGCAAACAAGGTTACAAGGCCAGAAAAGGCCCTTATACTTGGTTTCATGGCAGGTTCCAGAGGTACGTTTCACAATAAAATCTCTAATTGATTACATTAACAAGGAGGGGTGAGAACGTGAAGGGTTTGTAATTGTAAGATACGTTCCAAAATGAAAATTTCACATCTGTTGGTAATCTACTTTCAACAAGTTTGTCTGCCTTACTTGAGCAGATTATTTTTTTATTTGTGTGTTTTTTTTTTGTTTTTTTTAATATACAATAGTTATGAATTGTCCAGGAACCTCCAAGTCTGGTGTTTTGTTACAGCTTACTTGAGGGTTATGGGGCAGCACCTAATGACCAGTGCAGTTTGCCCCATAACCAGTACAATGAACTATAGCGCTTGGAGTGTCCCATTTAAACCTATGCTGCTCAGGGAGGTTGCGGTGTTTTTAAGTTGAGATTAACCAATGTGTATGTTTTGCTGCATTTACAGAGAACCCATGCCCAGAACAGGGTGATATCATTCAAATCAAACTCAGCGAATACACAGAAATTTTGCCGAAAGCAGATGGCACAGGCAGCACCACAATGTTGGTGGACACTGTGTTTGAAATGAACTATTCTACTGGCCAATGGACCAAGCTTAAAAAATATAAGCCTATAACCAATGTATCATAATGAATTCCAGAAAGGAACTATGGACCAAACCAGACTTTCTGGTTCATGTTTATCTCTAAGCCAACACCACAAATCTAATGGAAAAAATACGGTGGGACGTAAACAAGAAAAGTGGCACAAGTTGCATTACCTTCAGCTGAATTCAAAGAGAAACTTGATGTCTATTAAACAAGTTCTTTAAGCAAAATTTACAAATGAAAAATTGGCCAGTTTTTGTACTACAAAAGCCTGTTTTAACGTGATACAATTGGATACAGATACGGTTTGGTTTGAAGATTCTTGCAAACTATTTTGTATTTCGTGACCCTTTATTTCTGCCCTCTTAGTTTTTGTGTTTTTTTGTTTTTTTTTTGTTTTTGTCCGCCTCACAGGTTACTTTTTAACTCCTTAAGTGCCAAGTACATTCTATGCTATCAGTTTCATCTGTTCATCAAAGACCCTCTGCTAACATGGAATGTCCTACTTGTTTGTAGTCTACAGTGGCCTCCCTAATGCTGAATGGGAAGTCCGTTCTTGTCAATGTAGGGTCCATACACAAAAAGTATTTGGTCTTTAATGGGGTGTTGATGGCTAGTGGGTTTGGTTTTGGTTTTTCCAATTGCTGCCTTTAAAATGTTATGCTACCAAGGCTTTTTTTTTTTCTCTAAAATAAACAGTGATTTGTGCAAACACAGTTTTCACTAACAATAAGCAGGTTGGTAATAATATAGTTGAATTGGAGGATTCTTCCATAATTTTGCAACTTTGGGTTTTCCTCTTTCCCTCTGTAGTGAATAAACCCCATAAACTTTATCTCCATATTATTATTTTGTTTTGTTTTAGTCTGTTCACGTCTCATGCTGGACATTTGAAGTGGACACCCCTGCCACTGCTTAACATTGTGATATCCAGATTGTTTTAATACTTACTCCTGACGAGTACAAGGCATCCTCAAAAGCTGACCTCTATAGACCCAGACCAAGCATAATCTTGTGAATGTGAAGTAGCTGAGTAATGTCATCTGTTGCTCAACCCCTTTGGCATGAACAAAGTTTAAGAAACGGACCCTCTGTCACTTTTGCAAACAGAAGTATGGAGGGAAATACACAAATTCCATTTATAGAAGTAACACATTTTCTCTTGGTTTAAAGGAACTTATCAAACCCATAATGCATTTCAGCTTGCAGTTAAGTGTCAGATCTGTTGCCTAATATAAATGGCAATTTAGAGATATATGCACTCTTTTTTTTTTTTTTTTTTTTTTATAAGGCTCTAGGTTGCACCCTCCCAACTGTCTGCTCTTCCTTGTACACGTTTAGGTTTCAATGCTTCTCTATGAGCAGTATTACTGGTAAATTGTGGAAGTTGCAGCGCCCTGCCTCACAGTGCTTCTCTTTGTGGCGCATTGGTTGACCAGGAGATGATCATCCCTAATGATCTCCTGGACACAGTGCGGTGTGGAGGCCATCTCACTGCTGTATTAGTAATAAAGTAACCTATCTTACGGGATGCTGAAGAGTTGCAAAATGGCTAGCCAGGTTAACAGTTTGGGTGAAAATGTTTAGGTGTCCTAAATTAAAGGTTATAAGAGGTTAATCCCCCTCTCCTCCCACCCCCCTTCCCAAATTACAAGTTTGCATTCGCCTCTCCAACTCATTGTTTTGTGAATAGGTATGTTGAGTATTAGTCAGTTGTGGCGTGTTACAGTAAGGGTGGGCATGTTCTAATACAGTGGTCCATTATGCAGATGATACACTAGCTCTATTTAATATGAACGCACCATGAGTACAGGTCACTTAAACTGAAAAGCTCTACCCACAGGTGGTGGTGTTTTCTATGGTGTCCACCTTCCTCCTACTCCTCCACATTGGAAGCCCACCAATTTTAAATGCATTTATAACTTTTATTTACAGTTTATATAAACACACTGTATAGATGTATGTATGTACCTGATGTGGAAAATTTTCATAGCAATGTTATAAATGTATTTATAAAGGGGTATCTGTATCTAATAAAATGTAAAATACCTACTCCAGGCACAAGATGTCAGTGTCTGTAAAAATAGAGCTGTAACAATCCCTTTTCCAGCCTTAATTTTTAGCACACTAAACAAAGATGCCCCTGAAATATGGCCAAAATATTCTGTAAAGCAGTGTTTCTTTGGGTTTTTCCTTTTCCACCTCCATATCACACTCTACTCTGCGAGATAGACATGCAAGACAACCGTACACTTAGGTAGTTGGGTAATAAATTCGAAAGGGGTCAGTGAATTTATGGTCCTGAATAAGTAGTGGTGTACAGCAGTGACATATTGCATAGAGTAATCAGTATAGCATTGAGTCCAATTAAAGTATTCTCCGGTAGATGAAAAACTAAATCTGATTTTGCATTTGAGTAAGCCCTGTATTTTTATTTCCCCTTACTTTCTGCTTATTTTGAGGTTTGTCAAAAATCCTAGTTGGTTTTATTTTTTTGTTAGCCCATTATTTTGATACTTCAGTTCAGATTCCTGTGAGCAGGATTTAAATGTTTCACAAACGATATACTAGAATCAAACACTGTAAGGGCTTGGTGGTACATTGCCATGCAATGTTGCAAGTCTCCTGTGGTGCAAAACGTAATGGCTATTTGTAGAAATTGTACTAGCATTTTAAAAAGTTTTTGCATTTGTTAAAATGGTGGAGGATGGAGCCTGGTTGTATTGCTTACAAGCAAAACTTGTAAAGGTTTATTTTATTTTGGTTTTCTCCCTGTGCTGGATCCACATTTGTCCTATATTTACATTACTGAAAGACAGATGATCTTTTCTGAATGTACTTCAAATGCTTTTATGAATCTGGAAACAAGACTTGTATATTAAACAAATAAACATTTTACTATGGATTCCAGAACCTGGACAAGATTTTCTTTTTGATATTTTTTTTTTTTTCACTGCAAGTGTTTAATCTACAGCGTCATATGGTTTTGATTACTTTATTTTCCCTTTTTTTTGTACAGTTGTTTTAAAATATGGTTTGTCTTCTGCTATTCATTTTCTGTGTATCACAATGTGTATAATAAAAGTTTAGATTTTCTAAGAAAAGCCTTTTCTCATAACTCTCATGGCTGTCTAGAAATAATTCTGTATTTTTAAATACAAAACTATTAATACTAAAATCAGAAAAAATGGTGTGGGACTGGAATCGTTCACCTGGTTAGTTTCAACTTGATGAAGAAGCCAACTAGCTTATGTTGCCCATCTAGAAGGTATTTGCATAGCCTCAAGCCGTTATGGGATTCATAGTACATTTCATCTACATCTTGGAGAGTAAAAGTGTCATGAATTGAACATTTTATGCCAAACCGCATAGCATGGGGACATGGTGCCAGTAGTGGCTTTGTACCCTACCATGTAAGTAATCCACTGTTTTTCTCATTTAACAACTTACTTGGGGGGTGCTGTCTCCAACTCCTATGATGGCTGAAAACTCATCAGCTGGTATCCTTGGCCAATGAGCTGGCCTTGCGAAGCAAGTGCTTCAGGATCTAAATGGATTAAGTGACCGGTGTCTGGTAGGATTCTAAGTACGCAGTCAATCTGTTATCAAATTATTTGAGATAAATATAAGAGCAAAAAATAAATCTAGAAATAGAATTAAAAATCAATTTAAATTATAGACCATCCACTAAAGCATGAAAAATCTTCCCAAATGGGTGTACATACAAACACCAACATATACTGGTGGTAGCGCTGGCATATTGTATCTTCTCTGAAAGGAGTATATACATATGTGATAGAAGGAATTGCATCTAAACATCAGAAATGTATATAGACTAATGCAAAATGTAATCTCTGTCAAAAGAATGGCATTTCACTCCATGCACACTGCAAAATACATCAGAAATCCCTTTAAGATAAAAAAATAAAGTGCATCCCAAAAAAATGAAACTACAAGAGTTCTTGCAAATATAGCATGATTTAGCTTGCTTCTTCTATACCCCACCTCCATCTTTTTACTCCAAAGCAATCCACAATATCGTCTTCTATACATATAGTGCTTTCACAAATTAAACTAGTCTATAGGTCATCACAGGCATAAATCAGCCTGAACTAATTAATCATCCTAAAGTTTTATGCAGGGATTTCAGTCCATTGATGTGTTGGCTGCATGTTCACGCAAACCTCCCATGTTGTATTGTGTTAGGATCTAGAGACGGCAGATGATTGGAATACTAAGCTCATGGTCATTTTGGTCATGGTTTGCGGAACCAGTTTGAAGTGGAGTACTTTGTGATATGGGGTGTTATTGTGATGTGGGGAGATTGTGGCCATAAAGTGGATGCATGTGCTTGGTGCACAGGTAGACTACATGCAACAAAACTATTAAGGAGCCTACTGTGTACAAGGAATATACTCCCTTTACCATTGTACTGTCATTGGCCTGAACCATTTAGCACAAATCCATGACACATCCTACATTGTGTAAAGATTCTGTTGAAGCAGAAATAGTCTGTGTGGTTTTGTGCCAAAGTATTTCAGCCTATGGCTTCACGATACACTTTTAATTTTTTTTTTTTTTTTAATTCAGCAGCTCCTTCCCCTTACCCCTAGTTGTATTGATTAAAAAAATGCGTCCGTTACAGGTAGCAGGTTGACCAGGCTGTAAGGTGATCCTGGCAATACCAGATCCTAAAGTTAGAGTGTGTGAATGTGTGTGCTTTTAGCTAGAACTTTAGCTAGAACAGAACTGTTTCAGTTCAGCAATATTCTTGGGATGTCTGGTGTGAATTGCTTTCTTGAGGTCATGCCACAGCATCTCAATCTGGTTGAGGTCAGGACTCTGACTGGGTCACTTCAGAAGGCGTATTTTCTTCTGTTTAAGCCATTCTGTTGATTTACTTCTATGCTTTGGGTCATTGTCCTGTTGCAACACCCATCTTCTGTTGAGCTTCAGCTGGTAGACAGATGGCCTTAAGTTCTCCTGCAAAATGTCTTGATAAACTTGGGAATTCATTTTTCCTTCGATGATAGCAATCCGTCCAGGCCCTGACGCAGCAAAGCAGCCCCAAACCATGATGCCCCCACCACCATACTTCACAGTTGGGATGAGGTTTTGATGTTGGTGTGCTGTGCCTTTTTTTCACCACACATAGTGTTGTGTGTTTCTTCCAAACAACTCAACTTTGGTTTCATCTGTCCACAGAATATTTTGCCAGTACTGCTGTGGAACATCCAGGTGCTCTTGTGCAAACTGTAAACGTGCAGCAATGTTTTGTTTGGACAGCAGTGGCTTCCTCTGTGGTATCCTCCCATGAAATCCATTCTTGTTTAGTGTTTTACGTATTGTAGATTCGCTAACAGGGATGTTAGCATTTGCCAGTGACTTTTGTAAGTCTTTAGCTGACACTCTAGGATTCTTCTTCACCTCATTGAGCAGTCTGCGCTGTGCTCTTGCAGTCATCTTTACAGGACGGCCACTCCTAGGGAGAGTAGCAGCAGTGCTGAACTTTCTCCATTTATAGACAATTTGTCTTACCGTGGACTGATGAACAGCAAGGCTTTTGGAGATACTTTTATAACCCTTTCCAGCTTTATGCAAGTCAACAATTCTTAATCGTAGGTCTTCTGAGAGCTCTTTTGTGTGAGGCATCATTCACATCAGGCAATGTTTCTTGTGAAAAGCAAACCTAGAACTGGTGTGTGTTTTTTATAGGGCAGGGCAGCTGTAACCAACACCTCCAATCTTATCTCATTGATTGGACTCCAGTTGGCTGACATCTCACTCCAATTAGCTCTTGGAGATGTCATTAGTCTAGGGGTTCACATACTTTTTCCACCTGCACTGTGAATGTTTACATGGTGTGTTCAATAAAAACATGGCAACATTTCATTCTTTGTGTGTTATTAGTTTTAGCAGACTGATTGTCTATTGTTGTGACTTAGATGATTATCAGATCATATTTTATGACCAATTTGTGCAGAAATCCATATCATTCCAAAGGGTTCACATACTTTTTCTTGCAACTGTATTTGTGTAATTATGATTTTCTTTGTGAGTGGTTGGGCCTTTAAATATTTACTTACAAGCAAGATTTCCAACATTTATATGTGTGCGTGTGTGTGTGTGTATATATGTATATATATATATATACAGGGAGTGCAGAATTATTAGGCAAGTTGTATTTTTGAGGATTAATTTTATTATTGAACAACAACCATGTTCTCAATGAACCCAAAAAACTCATTAATATCAAAGCTGAATATTTTTGGAAGTAGTTTTTAGTTTGTTTTTAGTTTTAGCTATGTTAGGGGGATATCTGTGTGTGCAGGTGACTATTACTGTGCATAATTATTAGGCAACTTAACAAAAAACAAATATATACCCATTTCAATTATTTATTATTACCAGTGAAACCAATATAACATCTCAACATTCACAAATATACATTTCTGACATTCAAAAACAAAACAAAAACAAATCAGTGACCAATATAGCCACCTTTCTTTGCAAGGACACTCAAAAGCCTGCCATCCATGGATTCTGTCAGTGTTTTGATCTGTTCACCATCAACATTGCGTGCAGCAGCAACCACAGCCTCCCAGACACTGTTCAGAGAGGTGTACTGTTTTCCCTCCTTGTAAATCTCACATTTGATGATGGACCACAGGTTCTCAATGGGGTTCAGATCAGGTGAACAAGGAGGCCATGTCATTAGATTTTCTTCTTTTATACCCTTTCTTGCCAGCCACGCTGTGGAGTACTTGGACGCGTGTGATGGAGCATTGTCCTGCATGAAAATCATGTTTTTCTTGAAGGATGCAGACTTCTTCCTGTACCACTGCTTGAAGAAGGTGTCTTCCAGGAACTGGCAGTAGGACTGGGAGTTGAGCTTGACTCCATCCTCAACCCGAAAAGGCCCCACAAGCTCATCTTTGATGATACCAGCCCAAACCAGTACTCCATCTCCACCTTGCTGGCGTCTGAGTCGGACTGGAGCTCTCTGCCCTTTACCAATCCAGCCACGGGCCCATCCATCTGGCCCATCAAGACTCACTCTCATTTCATCAGTCCATAAAACCTTAGAAAAATCAGTCTTGAGATATTTCTTGGCCCAGTCTTGGCGTTTCAGCTTGTGTGTCTTGTTCAGTGGTGGTCGTCTTTCAGCCTTTCTTACCTTGGCCATGTCTCTGAGTATTGCACACCTTGTGCTTTTGGGCACTCCAATGATGTTGCAGCTCTGAAATATGGCCAGCAAATATGTATAGTTTAAAAAACATATACCACCGGGGGCGCCACAATCACAAACATGTGAATATATTTACCATGGTATGTTCATGGGTATGCATATAAGGAGATAAAAATAAAAGTATATATAGTGAAGTATTTAATAACAAATAGAATAAAATAATAAAAATAATTGCACTCACAAATGTAGTTGCACAACAAGAACATATGTCCTAATTGTGCTAAGAAAGCCTGTCAGCCCTTAATTGGGCTAGAGTCCCCTCTTGTAGCAGGATCCCGATTTTCAAAAGTTCCAATGGCCTCCAGTAATAATCTGCTTGAAGGTGGATGAGATCCAAAAATACTAGGGACACTGGCCGACTTGTAGCTGCTCGACGCGTTTCGTCCGATCGACTTTTTCAAGAGCTGTGTGTTTCTGTTCTTCTTCCGGCTTTTTAAATGATCAGGTTCGCGCGGCTTTCAGTGTTGCGCGCATGCGCATTACGGTAAAACTTTACCGCGCATGCTCGCACATCCAGCTTGAAACGCAAAACCAACTTTATTGATACTTTGCGCCGACAAAACACATTTCCGTACCGGAACAGTATGCTTAATTTCCCACTTCTAATAGTAGAACTCTATATGTGATGCACTTAAAATGCTTTTTACCTTTGCCTTTTAAAAGATGGTTCATCAGTATTTTATGTATGAAGATCAACTATGTATGATGAACAAAAGCTTGAAGTGCCCACATATTATTCCGTAAGACCAAGTGGTCCGGTACGGAAATGTGTTTTGTCGGCGCAAAGTATCAATAAAGTTGGTTTTGCGTTTCAAGCTGGATGTGTGAGCATGCGCGGTAAAGTTTTACCGTAAT